AAGTGTTGAGCACAACAAAGAGTATAAATCTTTGATAAGTTCTAATTGAGTTCAATTTTGTATGCCCCTTAGTGTACCTCCTTAATGACGTGATAGAGATCTTCCCAGTCGGGCCAATGTTTGATGTCAAGATACTTGGAGGATAAAAAGATCTTTCTCAAAACCAAGTCTTCGACACAGAATGACCTCTTCTTTTTGTTTAGATTTATAATGTCGAGTTATTTTCCTTTGATACGACACTAATTTGATTAAGACTCATCTAAATGTTCATCAAGGAAATTCAACAAAGGCTATCTCAACTTGTCGTTAGTGATTTCATTGAAAGGATGACGATGAGATGGAGGAATGCCCACATCCACTAGGTTCAAACCCATGCCTTATAAGCTATTGAGAAGGGAGTATTCTCGATAGTAATTCTACTAGTGGTCCTTAGGACCTAAAATAAATGGGGAGCTCGTCAAATCATGAACCATTTAAAAGTGTCAAGTTTATACTTGAGGGTGTATTTAATGATTTTGTTGACAATCTCAACTTGACAAGTGCCTTGAGGATGGTATGGAATGGAGAAAATGCTTCTTAATTTCAAGCTTCTCGTAAAGCTTTCTAATCTTGCTATTATCAAAGTGCCTATCATTATTGGAGACCAATGAATAGTAAACTGGCATATAACATTTTTTTAAATGATCTTGAAGGTGTTGGTCTAGGTGATACTTGTTATAGGCTCTGCCTCAACCTACTACGCAAAAAATCAATGTTGCACATGCCTCTTCTAAGGAGAAGAGGCCTTATAAAGTCCACATCCCACTTGGAGAATAACCAAGGACTGATGACAACTTTAAGCTCCTAGGATGGTGACTAAGGAATAGTGGTGAAGTGCTTGCACTTGTCAAACCTCCTCATGTCGTGCATAAAGTCTTTTTTAATGGTAGGCCAGTAGTATCCTTGTGTTTAGGACTTTTTGTGCTAACATTTGCCATCATATATGATTTGCATAGATCCCTTTTTAAATCTCCTTAAAAAAAAAAAAATTAGCTTCCCCGTCTCCGAAACATCTAAGAAGAACAATGGAGAAGCCTCATTTATAAACCACGTTGTCGTTAAACACGAAATGTGTTGCTCAACTCTTCAATTTGCAAGGTTTTTCTTTATCCTCAAGTAGGTCACCATCTTTTAGATAGGCAATGATCAAATCCAATTAGCATTGTCCCTAGAAATCTTCATCATTTTGCAATTTTCCTTGTGGCTTCAACAATTATTTATTGGGTATGATTTTCTGATGTTCAGAGTCCTTGCTTGCCAATTTGGACAGGGAATCTACATTGTTGACGCCGATCTGTGATCTCATTTATGTTGTACCTAATACCTGTTATATCGGCTTGCTAGGTTAGATTATTGAGATCAGCTCGAAATCATGGCCATCGTAGTTTCGACAAACTCCATATTGTAGATTCTTTGTACCTTGTCAAATAACCCAATTGGCTAGGCACACTTGGCAGAAATGATGTCAGCACTGCCCAATTCCACCAATCAATCACCAAGGCTTCCCTATCCTTGGATTGAAACGGCGGCAACCGGCCTCATTAACCAATCAATGGACAGATTGTGCGACACACTATTCAAGCTCGACATTGTAGTTGATTAGATTGACGTGACATAATTTTGACCAAAACCTCCTATAAATAGTAGGAGATGGTTCCTTTCAAAGGGGACACAAAAGAAAAAGTACACAAAAAATGTGATTAAATCGTTTTTGATCAATACAAATTTCCTCTTTTTCTAAAAGTTGGCTCAAAAAATACTCTGAAATTTTTTTGACGTCAACATACACTTGCATCTTTTAGTTACTTGAAGAAGCTCAAAATTTTCAAAGGTAAGAGGTCCATCACTCATTTCAAATAAATGGTCATGCTCTTATCTCTAGACATGAAGTCAACATTGACATGACTCGCTACCAATTTGGAGTCTCTATTAAGTGCAAACCATTTAACTAGCCTCAAAATAGTTAGGAGGGACATATTTGGTAGCCTTGTTTGAGGCATTGTGAAAGGTATGCCCAATACTCAAACTAATAGGGAAATTCCCATCACACATTAGGGGTGGGGACAACGAGGGATTGGATTGGAACATTTTGACTTCTTCGCATGAAAATGAAAAAGTTATTTACCTTGTTAATTGTGTATCTAATAGTGTAGATTCTAAATGAATAAGTTTCTATATTTTCAAAAAATCTAGTTCAACAAAATAAATTGTCAAGTGCGTCATTGAAATTTAACGAACTCTTTAAGTTGTATCTTAATTTTATTTGTATTTAAAATTGTTAAATAGCCTAAGTTGTGTTTTATCTTTTGACTTTACAAATACTAATGTACAAGTACCAAAATAATTTAATAATTCAAATTGGCTATACAACAACTGTTTTTTTTAAATGTTTATTTTTCTTTTAAAATACTAGTATACATGTACCAAAATAATTTCTTTACTTTTCTTTAGGCAGCAATAACTGGCTACCTGCCATGCATCAATGTTTTCAATCCTATGCTTGTCAGAAGAGTGTAGTCTAATACACCAAAATGTTGCAATAATTAAACTTATGTGTTCAATATTTGGTAACCTAACCTAATCCTAACCCTAATCCCTGTTTTGATGCAAATTACAGATTATCATTAATAAAAGAGATAATTGCAACAACAGTCCCAAATCTTTTCTTTTTTAAAGACTTTATCAAAATTTTTATTTTTGTGATCCGCAGTCCTAAATCTTTCATTTTATTTCAATAGAAGAACAAATTGATGAATTTTGCCCATTTGACAGTTGGTTAACAAAAATTCAACTGTTTGGCTAAATTTTGACCAATTCGACAGGGTAAAATAGTAATTTTATATTATCCTATATCAAAAACTAAAATAATTAAATAAAAACCCAAAAACAATCGTTAAATTTTGGGATTGAAGCTGTTATTATCATTCTATCATTTTAAAATTGGTCAAAATTTGATCAAATTGTTGATGCTTGATCAACTAATGATCATCTGTCAATTTGTCTTTTTGGTGCAACAAAATGAAATATTTGGTATTGTGGATGACACAGATGAAATTTTTGAATAAAGTTTGCAAAAAAGAAAATATTTGGGGGATCTCAATTACAATTATGCCTTAATAAAAACTACCCACAATCAGGGCAAAACAAAGTTAATAAATTTCGGCCATTGAATTTTCGGTAAAATCTCATTAAGCTACCAAACAAATGAGCTTCAATTTTTTTCTTTTACTCAAGTAAATGAACTTTAATTTAATTTCATTGTTAGTTATTATGTTGGTCATGTTATTACTTTTGACGTCACATTAATTCCCTAGCCCCATTTTTAGGTAAATATGTTACCTAATTATGGCGTGGCTGCAGAATCATGAAATCGAATCGTGAAATTGGAGATGAAGATTAAGCCGTTGTTTGACAACCATTATATATATATATAAACATCTATATGATTAGATTGCACGTATACTTGAAAAATAAAGATACATTAAATTGTTTTAGTTTTTAATGTTCCTGTAAGATTGTGATGTAAAGTTTTGTGACATCTTAACAAGATAAAAAGAGTGACTAACATTCAACATAAACTAAATTATTGTGATCTAATGAAGATAAATTAAAGTTTATTGACCTAACTGAGATTTCATTGAAGTTCAGTTACCAAAATGAAACTAACCCTAATTTATTTTTGTATTCAACTTTTGTCTTATTGTGTAGGGACAAGAATTATTTGACTAAAACCACAAATTATGTGAACGTTATTATGCACTTATTCCTATCAACCCTGCGCAAATTAGCATCATCCATACACTGTAAGACACGTCTGTGGACAACTTTGTAACTTCACGCAATAGTTTATCCCCGCCTTTTTTCCCCTGAAAATTTTAAAGGCTTCTGAAGTAAGAGTCGAGGCTTCTTAAGTGACAAAATTAGCTCAAATGAAGGAAATTTATATCTATGGTTGCTCGAATTGATACAAAATAAAAGAGTAATTGCCTTTGAAATAGCTGGTCCCCTCAGCTCCACCACTGGAAAGGATCATTGATTTCTATTTATAGGAGAGAAGATCACACCACTTGACCGTTCTACATCATTTCAATTATAATGTTATTTTAGAAACGTCCGCCATCGTCCGAATGTCCAATATTTAGATTGATCATTGAGGTCGGCCAATTTGGTCATTTTAACATCTACGTCTCAATTATGACATCAAGTAATGATATATGTTACTAGATAATAATGACTAGCTTGTGATTAGTTGCAAAATAGGTGCTGATATCATGATTGCCACGTGTCTTGTTGGGAGTGGTTGGTGCTGAGGTGGGAAGTGTACCAGGTCTTTATTAATCATGATCTCTCAAATTACGATGGTTAATATTCGATCTTAAACTTTATTTAGTGTAGTCTGTCCTTATTTTGTGTTGACTTAGGTCCCACTATTTTCTTTCTAATTTTAGGTTGGACACCAGCAACATTCAGTCCAATTCAAATTAATCGAGTATAGTGCCAAGCGAAAGACACAAGCATATGAGCCACTTTACTTTGAACGGGGAAAAAATTTGCATGTATATGCAATTTGTATCTTTTAAACGAGCTACTCAAGATCAAATAAAAACAAAAGAATTTCCTGTAAAAACTATTTTTCTCATGCATTTTATGGAATTTATAATTTTTTTTCACCTTTTAACCGTATATATATTTTTTAAAAAGTATCTTTCACTAAAAAAAAAAAAAAAAAAAAAGGGTATGCCAAGCAAGCTGTACATTTTATTACTCTAGTTTGTCCTTAATAATTATTTTTCCATTTCTTTTTAACTTTTCTTCCTAATTATATTCAACTTTTGAGAAATGAAATCCCAGAACTACCCTTCATTTCTCCTCTAATTACCTCAGGCGATATTCGGCGTCGAATCAATTACAGATATTTCTGTCTCCCCCATCCTCTCTGGTCCACTCTCTCGCTCTCTTTCTAAGAAGACGCTCACACACACACTCTCTCTCTCTCTCTCTCTCTCTACATATATATACAGTGTATACACCATTGCTGTGTGGTATATATATGCACACATTATCACGGGCTCTGAGTAGAAAGCTTCTCACAGCACAGAGCTCTTACACTACTAATATTGATGCCCTCTTTTTTCTCTTCCCTTTTTATTATAATACGTAAATGTTGAAGAAGAATTGAAGTTAATTTTATGAATTGTTATTTCTTGAGATCTGAAGCACTAGTGTTTGAAGTCATTTGATGAAAAATGAAGTCGAATACTCGGCTTAGTTCTGCTGTTTTTCAGCTCACTCCAACTCGAACTCGGTATAATTTATACTTTTTTTTTGAAATACTTCAGCTTCGTTCTATTTTTTTGTTTGCTGATGGATTATTGCAGTATTTATGCGACCTTTTGTGTGTTTGTTCGCATATGGTTTTGTTTTTAATCATTTGAGTTGAAGTCCCTCCTCCTTGTGGGCACTCTCCCCTTGCAAGCCAGTTTTAAGTGGACGTTACTTAGTTTTTGGCTGTTTAGTTAATAAAGCTTTCTGTCTTTTGCTTTCCGGAAATTTTGGAATGTATTTGTACATTTACGATGTACGATCCTTGTTGGTTCTATTCCTTTTGATATGGTAAGTACCGCTTCAATTTCCTGGGGATTTCTAATACCAAATTGTATTTCATGGAGTTCAACTATAAAAATGTGAGATGTCCAATTATTTGAATTTTTGTTGATATGTTGAAAATTGATATTGTTGTATTGGTGAGCCATTAACTTAAAATGTAAGGAATTTCGAGGTGCTATTATTGTATAAAAAATGAGTACTTAATATCTCTTAGTTTCCTCTTCTTTCTTTTATTTCTTTAAGGAATTGTTCTTAAAATATTACCGCTCTATGCTTGAGCACTTATCCTTTCATGTTGATAGTGTAGTTGTGATGCAAAGCTCATGGTCTTTTAATTTTCAGGTGTGACTTGTTTATCTTAGCAAATGACAAAAAAGAGAAAATTGCATCAGGATTGCTAAATCCTTTTCTAGCCCACCTAAAGGTTGCTCAAGACCAGGTTGCTAAGGGTGGTTATTCAATTTTACTTGAACCGGAAACTGACGGTGACACAACATGGTTTACAAAGGCCACTCTGGAAAGGTTTGTATGGCAATTTGATGTTCTTCTTGAATCTTGGTGGCATGTTTGTAGTCAATGTAACACAGTTTGCTCATTTTTTCATGTAACATCTTATTGACTTGCTGGAATTTAGTCTTCCTTTTGAGGAAGATAATCTAAATTCTTCCTTTAAAGGAGGAGACGTGATTTAGAATGATGGAAAAATGATGACATTTGTGCCTTTTCACTGATTACATTAAGTCAATAATTTCTAATGATGCTACAAAATGTTTCTGGTAGATATATTCAAGTTTTCATAACATTGATTGCTATGTTGATCTTTGGATTAAGAATTGCTGTTTCTAGTCAACTTGACAACTGATATATCCCTTTCTATCCTGTAGGAGAACTTTTGGACAATATTATTTGGAAGCTTTCTAAGAAAGCACAAAGTTGGAACAGTTCATTTAATATTAGTGTTCATCCGTCAAACAATAAGATCGAGTGCAGTGCAGAGCTGCACTCTTAAGCTGGCACTTTTTTAACACTGTTGCATGAAATAAATCCAACATATCTTTTATCAGAGTAGAGCAATCTCATTCCAAAAGACCATCTTCTGTGCCATTTTGCTCAAAAGACAAAACTTTTATGCAAATACATGCCTGAGATGTGCTTATGAGGAAAAAAGCCAGCCCTTTATGTATATCCTCTAACTGTTGCTGAATTTGCAATTAAACTGAATTAGATTCCTACAATCAAAATAACTTGCATTGCTAATACTTCTATGGGGACTTCCTTGTATCAATAATCTAAATGCATTTAATAGCACCACATAGCTCAGCTGTATTCTTTGCCTGTTATATAGGATAGTTTTTTTAACTTATAGAATCCCTGTAAAAGATTAAAGCTTTTCCATCATGAATGTTTTTGCTGTGAGGGGCATTGCTTGGTATTTTCTTTTCCTTTCGCAATACCAGATGAAAGATTCTAATACAAATGCTGCATTAATAGGTTTGTTCGATTTGTGAGCACTCCAGAAATATTGGAGCGTGTGCACACCATAGAATCTGAGATCTTACAGCTCGAGGAGGCGATTGCCTTACAAAGCAGCAATGATAATGGGCACAGCGTTGTAAAAGCACTGCAATAATTTCTTCTTTGTACTTAATCAACACCAGTTTTATGATTTTTCTTTTAATGTATTATGTACGTTTAACAGGTAGAAAACCATGAAGGAAAGCCTTTAGGCAGCTGCGAAGGTATTGGAATGAGCACATTTGTATATCTTCATGTTTTATGTACAAAAAAATTGTTTTCATATTTGTTTACTTGCTTGAGAAGGGATATACAATCTTTAGAGGTTTCTATTACACAACATTTAGCTTCACCCTTTCTTTCTGCCTATCTCAGTTTGTTTATTTGCTCCTCCCTTATGTCTGCATATTTGTGAATATTATTTTTTTCCAAAATTTTCCCATCAAGTAAAACATAATACTGGTAAATGATAACAGTGTTAACACCGAAAATTTTCCACAGGTAAGAAATCTTTGCCTGATGGTGGTGACGAAAAAGCGATTGTCCTTTACAAGGTGACTAGGCATTCAGTATTTTCTTCATTTGTTGCACTGGATTATATGTTCACTCTCTGCCTCATTTTACTGACAGCCTGGGGCACAACCACCTGAAGCAAATGGGTCATGCTTGGAGGAGGGGAATTCTAAGTATGCACTGTAAAACCCATCGTTGATTTTCCTATGCTAATTCACATGCTTCTCGTGGCATTACTTAAGTTTGTATTGCACTCCTTTATTCTTCGTGTCAACTGAGATCATTTGAGCTAGAAGTTGTGCATCATTTGTCATGAAAAGTAAGACATTATTGAAATGGGGCAATTTTTGGCAGAGGTCATATGGCGTACTTTACAGTTTAAGATTGACCTGACGTAATACATAGCTTTGCACTGTGGTTATTTTATATTTCTTCCTTAGTATAATTTACAGAAACCACATAACAATGCCCCCGTTTGAGCTCCACTTTTAACAAAAAATGAGTCTTGTAATAGTTTTTTTTTGAGAGCTCCATTTTTAACAAAAAATATGAGTTTTGTAATAGTGATTTTTTTGATATTGTGCGGTTAACGAGGAAAAAGTTTTGGATTTATGTAAATTATTTTATTGGAAGAATGTGAAAATTAGTTTGAGGGAAAGTGCATTTTGAGATAATGGGGCTCAAATAGGGCAATATGTTATTCTAATATCTATCAATTTGTTGTTAAATTTTTTTTCCTCTATATGAATGCTTGGATGTTGAAACATATACAAATTTATGTTAAGCACAAAAACTCCTCCTAGGGGGTATCTTCATAGCTTAACACTTTTTCTAAGCACTTTTTTGGTAAATATTTTAATCTAAATTTTAATCTATGTCAAAGTCAACAATTAATTTTAACCACATTTTATGGGATCCAAAACTTTTCAACCACATATTTCATCGACTTTTATTAAAATCTTCTAAAAATCTTATTTTAATTCCCACCAAACCAGGGCTAACAATCATATGAAATACCAGGATAATTGTCTAACATGCCACATGACATGTCATTTTTAGAGTTACATTTTAATTTTTGACACTCGAGACACATTCCTGACATGTCTCAAACACGCGTCGGACAAACTATTTGATGTCCTGTATTTCATGTTTATAAAATTCTCTGACATCTGAGAGACATGGAAAAATGTTTGTTTGAAAATTTCAAAATTTAGTCCTGATGAAATGCCATGAGTCATGAGTGGCTCCAAAATGTATGTTTAAAATTGTAAGTAGCGTTAAAGCAGGTGATACTTCAAAAAATAAACAAAGAAAGCATTCACCATCCAATTCATCTCATTGGTTGGTACAAATCTACCTTTTGGTAGCATGTAGAGATCCTTAATAGTTTATATTTTAATTGGTTGAAATGTACTGCTAAACAGTAATTATGGAAAAAAAATCATCGAATGACATGTAGTATTTGTTTTGTATCTACTGTATACACTTTTTGGTACATGAATATATTTGTTTCATTAGCACTAGAACTACAACTCAAAATTATCCTAATACCACAAATAATTACTTTGCAAAGTTCAATCATTCAACTTTTAAGATTCAAAATCAAAGCTGAAAAAGAGTATTAATTTGTTTGAAAATAGAAAAGTATAGAGATAATGATATGAAATGTAAATTTTAATGGATGTATCTACAGTGTGTATGTCTTACTTTTTTGGCATAATTTTGTGTGTTGGTGTCCAATCCGTGTCCATCCAGCATAGACCAATTTGAAATGCATTTTTATCTTTATTGTGTATTTGTATTGGGAAATGCTTGACCCCTATTTAAGAAGGGAAGGGATCTGACCTCCATATTCTCAAGGTTATAGATAGACCCTGGACTGTTGAACCCACTTCCAGAGTCATGTAGTGCTTTATTATATAGGATTCAATTTAACTCAAATACAAAAGAAACTCCCTGATACACCCCCCTTGCCACCTTCAGCAACAATAAAGAAGGAAGACCCCATCTTCAACAACAATAAAGAGAAAAAAAAAAAGGAAAGGAAAGAAAAGAAAAGAAAAAAGAAGAAAGCATTTTTCTCAGTTATGAGTGTTTCTTCTTATTGGCATTTTGTTTCTTCTGGCTGCTTATAGACAACTCCTATCTGCATATTTTTGCAAAATAGCTTCTAGATGCTTGCTTGATTACCCATTTGAAGTAACATTTAAACTGGCATATTTAATTATTTAGAATGGTCATTTCATACCATTGTGCCCTTCCATTTGCATGTGTGGAGTGATAGGAAGGTTGTTTGGAAGGAGTCATATCTCTAATAGTATTAGTGACCCTCGAATCTGATTTGTTTATCATTTTTTGCGATTGTCTTAAAATCATCAACAGTGTTCTTGAGCATAGGCAAGTTAGTTTCCTATTTTAAGTGACGTACAACGTAGTTTCAGAAAGAGAAAGAACGATATATTAGGAATTCTAATATCTAATGACTCGATATATTAGGAATTCTAATATCTAATGACTTACTCGTGAACATTAATATTTTGGTGATTGTTCTCTTCTATATGTATTTTAAACATTGTGTTGTAGCAGCTAACTTTCATACGCTAGCTTAATATGTTAATTTTTTGTTTACCTGTTGTAACAGAGTCCAGCTTTTGAAAGTCCTTGAGGCCCGTAAGGCAGTTCTACGTAAAGAACAAGGCATGGCCTTTGCACGTGCTGTAGCTGCAGGATTTGATATTGATCAAATGGCACCACTTGTGTCATTTTCTGAATGCTTTGGAGCCTCACGTTTATTGTAAGCTCAAAATTCTTGTTATGTCCCTGTCCTTCCCAAAAGGTTGTACAAGTGCTATTGATAACCTGAAGGAATTTTTATTTCTAGAAAATTAGCAGAGTAATGACCTATATCCATATGACAGGGAAGCATGCTCGAGGTTCATGCATCTTTGGAAGAGAAAGCATGAAAATGGGCAATGGCTTGAAATTGAAGCAGCAGAAGCTACATCTACTCAGTCGGACTTATCTGCAATGAATACATCTGGTGTTGTTCTTTCTGGTGTAGCCAACACGTATAATGACTCCAATTGCGAATTGGCTTCAGAGAATTATGGTAAATCAGGATCAGACGTTAATGCAGGTGAGAGATAAGTCTTGCTGAGGTGCTTAATAAAAAATATCTTCCCTATCATTGTGTTTGGCTTTTCCAAAATTAAACACCTTCATATTATTTTTCGACCCTTCATTATTCATATCCTTTGTATTGGTTGAAAATGTTGTCTTTGCTTTCCATTACACGTGAATGAGGCATGGTGTAGACAATTTGTTTAATTTTGGTGCCTAACAAGTCAATTCTATAGAGCCTTGCACCTTAAATTTCTTACTAAATGGGCTTTGGTAGAAAATCTATTTGAAACCTGTTTCTCAGAAATTTTCATCTAGTTTGGGTATTTAATTATGAACAAGAACAAAATTAATCACAGTTTCTTGGGATGGATCTTCAGGGGAATTATAGGTGGAGAGACCAGACCTCAGTAACCAGGTTGCTCAGGAGGATGTGCTGCCCTTAAATTGCTGTGTTAGAAATTCAATTGTATGCTAAATACATATATAATTTATCCTGGACTTCATGATGCACTTTATTGTTGTTTTAAGTGATTATAGGAAAATTCCCCCCGACTCACTAAAGATTTCATCTTACCTTCCCAACTATATTCCCATGTGTTTGAATTATCTTATTTACTATATTTAAAGTAGACGACTAAATGTATGGCAAACAATGAATTTCTTTGGATATTATAAAAATTCTTATGAACTGATATTCCCGTATAATCTCTCTGAAATACTATTCATTGTCGGGGTTCGACTGTGTGATAGAGAGGCCATTTTTGGAGGGGTTGAAGTGTTTGTTGATCTTGAGATGCTGATTTTATGCTTGTGAGATAACTAGTCCACCACCTTGACATTCAGAAAGAAATTAGCAACAAAAATAGAGCACTCTGCACAGCAAACCTGACAAGACAATTGCTCATGATATATCAAATCTATAGTTGTTAGTCTTATCTTTATTGTTAATCTTCACGCCTCAATCCTAGACTAGTACGTGTGTCCATCTGTTGTGAATCTTAGGTGTATGATAGGTTGTAGTGTGACAAAATTTATAGGGCCTGACAAGTCTTCAAATTCATACATTGTTTAAAATTGTTCCCCCCCCTCTCTCCCCCCCTATAATTTCATTTTTTCATTATTCATTTATGTTTTCAGTAGATCACTCAGTGCCAACTGGTCAACCAGAATATTCTCAAGGACAGTTTCCTCATATAATGTTTCCTCCATGGCCTGTACATCCTGCACCTGGTGCCGCACCAGTTTTCCAGGCATACCCTGTCCAAGGAATGCCATACTATCAGACTTACACTGGGAATAGCCCTTTATATCAGCCACCTCACCCACCCATGGAGTATTATCATCAAACAGGACAGATGAGACATCCAAATGATGATAGGAGTACCAAAACTGAGTCAGAAATATGGGAGACGGACAGAACAAGATCACAGGATGATATGGAGATTAATGAGGAAGTTTCACACAGTCGGGAACCACATAAAAAGGGTGGACGATTGAGTAAAAAGCAATCAGGCATGGTTGTCATTCGAAACATTAATTACATCACTTCTAAAGCGAAGAAATCTGATAGTGAATCAATCTCAGCTTCTGATTCTGAAACAGACACAGGAAATGAAGATTTTAAGGCTGGTGATGACGATGTAGTACATAAGAATAGTTCGAGATCTTCCAGAAGAAAAGGGAGCTGTCTTAAGTTCACAGATGAGTCATATCTAAATGATAAATCTGCGTTTGTTAGGGAAACAGGTGATGGAGACTGGCAAGCATTTCAAAATTGTTTACTCAGAGGAACTAATGAAGGTACTCGTACTGCCAATGAGGGAATTTTTGCTATGGAAAAAGATGTTAAAATAAAAAGACGAGTAAATGCTGCAGGCAATGATCCGTTGGCTCGTGGTGGACGTGATCCAGGTGAAATACAAGACACTAGGATGATTGATATACACAGAATCAGTGGAAGTATGTCTCAACGGACTAGAGGATCACGTGATGAGGTTCTATTCTCGAGAGGGGATAATGATTTTCTTGGACGGGATGATGAAATTAATATGCAATTTACAGAAACAAATGGGAGGAAGATTTTATCTAGGGGAGCAAATGATGATTTTATAATAGGCAATCGAGAAAACCAATTAAATTTTGGGAATTCATCAGATCCACTAGCTGTGGAAGGTTTTGAGGGTTCCCTCAATAAGATGGATAGAGAATTATCACATGGTCTGGCTGATGAAACATTTATAGTACCATTTGGGTCAATGTCAATAGATCAAGTTGGAGTAGGAGATAGAACTGCTATTAATATGGATTCTGAGTATCAATCAAAGCATCAAAAGTCGGATAGCATTTCTGATGGAATTAGGAACCAAGTCAATTATGAGCCTGTTGATTTGAGCCTGATGCCGGAACGCAGGACTGAAAAGAGTTCATTTGGATATGACCCTGCTCTTGATTATGAAATGCAGGTTTATGGTGAAGGTGAAGATTCTAGTTCAAAGGAGAAAAGGGAAAAAAAAGAAATCAACGTCAAGGGAGGGTCAAGGAAATCTGAGAAGGATAAGAGGTCAAAGGTTCCTTTGGATTCTTCAGATAAGAAAAGAACTGGAGGACCTCTAAGGAAGGGGAAATTACCAAAGACAAGTACTTTAGAGGATGCACGTGCACGTGCGGAGAGGTTAAGATCCTACAAAGCTGATCTCCAGAAAATTAAGAAAGAGAAGGTACATCTAGCCTCTTGTTTCTTTGATACTCTTGAGCACACTTGACTAAGTAGATATAGTATAGATGCTTTGCAATAACCAACATGACTATGTAAACTCGTTCCTCATCAAAGTTATTGTTTTCCTTCTCAGTACTTCTTTCGGGATTACTAGACATGTCATATTTAAGTATTCATGTTTTGGATTCCTTTTTACTCCTATAAACTTCGATGTTCTAAAGCTCATTTCTCTACAGGAAGAGGCAGAACAAAAGCGCCTTGAAGCATTAAAGCTGGAGAGGCAAAAGAGAATTGCAGTGAGAGGCAGCTCCACATCTGTGAAGTTTTCGGTACTCTCACCGCAAACAAAGGCATTTCCTACAAAACTTTCTCCAATTGCTAATGGATCAAAGTTCAGTGATTCAGAACCTGGCTTATCATCACCCTTGCAGAGATCCAAAGTCAGAACTTCACTTGGATCCAGCGAGTCACGAAAATCTGCTAAAGCCAATAAATCAAGTGACAGTAGCCAGTTGGCAGGGGATACGTTGAGTAGGTCAGCATCATCATTGTCTGAGCCGAAAAGAGAAAACAATATTGTTACACTTGATTCAAAGGCTTCCATGGCACGGATCAGGAGATTATCAGAGCCCAAAAAAATCAGCAACCACCCTGTTACTTCAATGAATGTACGAAGTGCTGAAGTAGCTTCAAAGCGAAACCCTGTTACTTCAATGAATGTACGAAGTGCTGAAGTAGCTTCAAAGCGAAAGCTTTCTGAAGGGCCTGAGAGGAACAAAATATCTGCTATCGTTAACCTTGATAAAACTAAGGCTGCAACTCTACCTGAACTGAAGATTAAAACAACAAAATCACCTTTAAATATAGGTCATAACAAATCAGCAGTAAAGGGAACACATAAATTGAATGGAATAAAGCCTACTGAATCTTCTGAAAATGTTGAAGTATCTGTAAATGATCCGGATACTACATATCATAGTGATGTAGAGGACAACCCAATAGTTGAGAAAACTGTTGTGATGCTCGAGTATGAGAAGCCATCTATTCCTATTTTACATTCATCAGAAGAAAAGATGGGGCTACAGTGTCAACATAATGATAGTCATGACACTGGAGAGAAAAGTGGCATGATAACTGCATTTGCTGCCATACATACAGTATCTTCACCCATGGATGGAGTTGATAGAGATCCCCTACCCAGTGAAGACCAAAATCAATCACATTCTTACGAGGTAGAATATTCAAAATTGAGAATTCTTGTGTTTATCGTAAGCTGAAAATTATTTTACTGTAGATTAGAATATATTATTCAACTTTCTGCATGTTTTATATTTTCTTTCTCACATCATTCATATTGATTTTGCTTAACTCTAATATAGGTTCTGAAGAAGGGAAATATACTTTCAATGGAATAGACATGCATACTAAGTTTAAAATTGATGTTAATTAACACTTGTTGAGCATGTTACTGGTTTTCCTTAGGCTTTGTTCAGCAAGTGGGAGTTCGTAGAGGGATACTTAGAGATATGACAATTAATTTTCATGATATGCCCCTTCATTTATGACAAAAAATGAGATGCTCCATTCCATCAAACATGGAATAAAACTTGTGAGGAAGTAGCTGACTTTCTATGATGAATATAGATCTATGTAATTACAATTCAATTGAATAATTTAGAAGTACAACCGTACACACTATGCTACATGTACAAAAAACTATGTTATATCTGGTTTACTGATATATTATACTATGATACAAGGTGAAGAAAGATTATTCAGATGACCCTTCTGGTGCAGCAAACACCATCTCTGCTGAAAAACCTTATCAGGCCCCATATGCTCGTGTCTCCTCCATAGAAGACCCTTGCACTGGAAACTCAGAGTACGGTAATGCACCTACGGCAAGCTCAGAATTGATGTCAAGAGTTGAACAAACTACCAGTGCACATGTTCCTGATGTTAAAATCCTCAGGGTAGGCAAGAATCCAGAAACTTCTGAAAAGACTCGAGTAAAGGAATCAAAAGGTCTTAGACGGCTTTTAATGTTTGGAAAGAAGAATAATTCTTTAACTGCTCTAGATCGAAGTGTTGAATCAGACAGCACAAGTTTTGAGCAGGACGATATTGGAGGACGTACTGCTTCTTCGAGTGAAGGTGATGCCCATTTATCTACCTTTTAAACTTCATTCCAATAAAATAAATAATGCATGGTTCTGCTTAATCTCAAACAATTACCTCATTTAATTAGCATAAGCAAGGTCTTTTAGTGTTGCAAAGATGGTATGCATTTAATCTTAAGCATTAGTTGCACCAAATTGCTTTTTTCCAAATGCCTCATTCTGTAGTATTTCTCAATATTCTGAAAATAAATTATTATTTCGACGATTAGTTCTTCATGATAAAACCATCAAAATATCACCTTACTTTCTGTTGTCTGCCATGACCTTCTAAATGTTTGTCATTTGTGCTCATCAAGCATTCTATTGAAATTGACTCAGTCCTCCAGTTTATAGATTTTAGAGCTGAAAGTCTTGTATAATATTTCATTTTCTTCAAAGTAGGGTACTGTTGAGATTCCAGGATCAAACAAATTCTGCAAGTTGTTACAATACAGATTAAGCCCTTGTTTGGCCCCCCAATTTCTAAAACTCATTTATCCTCGAACTCATTTTCAACAACATATTTTATGATGTCCACAACTTTTATCAACTTTTTAACCACACATTTCGTTAACTTTGATCAAAATCTACTAAAAATTTTATTTTTAGTGAAACCAAACAGGGGTGAAGTATATCTGACACATTCAGTCGACTTTGTCCTGATCATGCAGAATTTTAATAGTTTCATCACTGAACTTCAATTTAACTCTTTTTTTTTTTTTTGTCAGTTCATACATTGAAGAATCTAATCTCACAAGATGGAACACCCACTGCTAGCAATGCTTCGCAGAAGTGTAAGCTTGTGATACCTGTTAAGTTTAATTCTTGAACGGAAATGAAGTCAGGATCTTATTTTATTTCTTTATTTTTGTAAATTTTGCTACAGCTTCTCGCCATTTCTCTTTGTTATCACCCTTTCGGAGCAAGACAAGTGAAAAGAAGCTAGCACAATGAGGAAAAGAAGCTAACAATGATAATATCATTCTTGTTAGAGGTGAAGTGTTGTTTTCGCAGTGACCCTTGTTGACGTGAAATGTGATTTTTATGTTGAATTGTTTAAATCTCCTGTTAATCTGTGTTGAAATACTCTGGAGAATACTGGGATGAAAAATGAAAATAGATCTTTATATATCTGCAAACCGTACTTCAACTGAATTTTCAATGATTTTACGACTCTGTAATAACTACTTTTGAGTTCCTTGTCGGTCCATGAAGGTTTGTCTTCTCGTCTTATAAGCTTGCTGGGCACCATTTCTTTATATTTCGGTCTATAGGCGAGTTTAACTTGGAGCATTTCCATTGCAGCTACGGATTGTTAAAAAAAAATTATGCAACATCGCCAAAATTAACGTTCCTCATAAAATATCTCTAATGCGTGATGAGATGGACAATGTCAAGTTGATGTGGCAGAAATTTGAAGTAGACAATTGTAAGGATTAAGGTGACTGTCGCCATTTAGAAGCTTGGCAAATTATTAATGATGGTTAGAAATAAGCACCCCCACAAAATCTTCGTTTCAATACAAAATACAAGTCCTGGCATCACATAAATAATTATATCTGAACTTGGGGGATTATTGTTACACCTCATAATTTGAAGCATCTAGTGAAAGCCACTTGAAGACAATAGTTAACGGTAACCCAATGGTCAGCATGAAAAAGCTAGTTATCGAAGCACTGTTTCACCATCCCGAAGCGCTATCTCCTTGTTCCAAAGCTTGTCTACCGAAGCGCGCACTCATTATTTCGAAGTGCTATGTCATTGTTTTGAAGCCTGTCTACCTAAGCACTACCTCCCGTTCGAAGCCCTCTTTAAAGTCGAAGCACCCGCTGTCTTTCGAAGAATCTATATAGTATCTCTATGAATGATTGATGTAACGTTTATATTAATAAATGTCAGTATTATTAGCTTATGTGTAGGGTGATTGACCCGTTGTCAATGTATAAAATGCATTGCAGAAAGTGACGTGATGCCTTGGTTAATGAGATGAGACCACATGGTCTTGATCCAATGGTTAGCACGTTAGCCCAAACTCTATGTATAACAACTCTTAACATCTGAAAGAATGCAACATTATATATTTAAAAAAACGATCAAATCTTCTCTTTTGTTTATTCCATTTTTATTTGCTTAAATTTACGTTACTTCTACTTTGGTGGAATTATTTGTGATTGATTGTTTGCTTGTTTGTAATTATCTTTGATCATATTGTTGGTGCTTAAACATATTTGTCTCACGTCATAGAGCATCTCGCCCATTCAAAAGTGTCATCCTTTTTCATCTGAATTTTTGATCAAAATGTGTTGGAATTTGCTTGTGTGGACACGAGTGGGCTCATCATCTGCTGTCCATGTGATCAATACGAAAAACGGGGTAATAGATTGGCGCCGTCTGATGGAAGCCACACATTAAACCACGAAAATTTAGCAGAGAAAAGGCTAGTGGAAAGACAATCTTTGGAGGAATTTCTTGCCGTTGAAGAAAGGTAGGTATTTCTTGAAGGAAGCGTCACCAAGAACTCCAAGAGGAACCATTTTACTAAAGTCAGGTACATTCCTCGAAGAAAGGAATATTGTTCATTGCCAAAAAGCCCAGGTAATTGAAAAGAAGAGTCACTATGAGTTCAAATAATGAAGAATCTACACCTCGTAGGACTAGGGAACACTCTTAAGAAGGGAAATCCTCATGCTACTCCATCAACTTGCCACTGATTTCACTAGCCACATAGGTAAGAAGGATCAAGAGTTGGGTCTAGAATTATCGACAGCAAACATGTAGGACATAACTCAACAAAATATTGCTATGCATGAGTTGTTAAGGAGCATGAAGGGCAGGGAAAATGATACCCATTTCCTTCTTATGCAGCTCAAGGTTCATCCTACACGAACCGTTACAAGGAAGCTACTACCATGATGGCAAGGAAGAGGTTCAAAGCCAAATGACTGATTACCATACTACATCAGGAAGGAAGCCCCTCAGGAATGGGAAGTTAGGATTGATACATCCACAAACTATGATAGTGATTGGCCCAACAAGGTCCCATTAAACTTTCCTCTAAACTACGACCTAGAAGGTGTGTCTTAAAGTCCATAAGTGTCTATACAAGATGAGCCCCCGAAAGCCTAGAAATAGGCAAACCCAACCTTCTCTACCTAGAGAAAGGCAACAGCGACCTCCTCGGTTTGAAACACAAAACCAGCCTGTTTATGACAACATGCCTCAGATCTTCTACCCAGAAATAGGAGTGAAAAGAGGGCAAGCTAGGAACCAAGTAGGACTATCTCAACCATCTTGGGGAACTCAAGTGAGAGAAGATGAAGGTTCTGACAAACTATAAAGGTCTTGTGACCTTGATTATGATGATAACAACCTGCCATTCTCCCAAGGATTAGAGGTGCCCTAATCCCGAACCACTTCGTACTTCTAAAGATTCCCAACTATGATGGAGGAGGCGACCTTGCGAAGCACCTTAACAACTTCAAAACCTACATGAGCCAAGGGGCTCCACTTCTACTATGAAATGCAAAGCCTTCCAATTTATCCTAAGCGAAGCTACTGAAGTGTAATATACTTGACTTCCCGAAGGGAGCATTCGAAATTGGCCAGAATTCAAGAAGGTTTTCTTGGAACGCTTTGCTACTAACAAAGAAGTAAAGGGCCAATACAACGCTTGCAGGACATAAGGCAACAGTAAGGGGAGTCGTAGAAAAACTTTTTATCTCGTTTCGCTGATGAAATGACCTATTGCGTGTAAGTTATCGATAAGGCGGCACTGTCAGCCATAAGAGGTAGGCTGAATATAAATCATCTCTTTTGGAGAGATGTACAAAACAAGGACCCAACCAACTATAATGCCTTGCTGGAAATGATAAGACGAGAGATTATCAATGAAGAATTCAGAGATCATTGAAATAGCACCACCTAAGGACTTTCACTCCCTCAAATGCAACGAGGAAAGGATCCCACCTATCACTTGATGGATCACCAGGTAGGACAGTCAACCTCCCTCAACCTGGACAAGTGCTAGCTACAAAAACACTGTAGTACCTACTTCGGCATATGAGGAAGTGAACTAGCATTGAAACCTACCAAAGAGAACCAAATCAATGATTCTCTCAAATGGGGAAAAGCAGATAACGAAATAGGAACGAAATGTCCCTCTATTGTACCTACCACTACTTATAAAGCTACTGCTAATTATAGAGATATCTCACTACACCCTTCAAATCGACAATCAGAAGAAGAATAGGCATTCCTGAGGAGACACACCCCTCCTTACGCCTGTCAACAACCTAGGAATGATGAGACAAGGCATCCTGTTAGGATTGATCTCTGGCAAAGGCAGGAAAATGATAGGGAAAGACCCAGGAAAGGCCAAAGGCAAAGGATGAGCCACCGACCAATAATGGTCATGAACCCATTCAAGAAACTGACACAATTTTTGAAGGCCTATATGTTAGAGGAGAAACCAGAAACACCCAAAGAAATTATGAAGGGAGGCTAAAGACCCTCCAATGGAAAAATCGACCCACAACTAGGAGACCCATCACTTTCACACAAGATGACACTATCGGCCTGCACTTTCCACATTGCGACTCCCTAGTCGTAAAGGTCATTGTGGCTCAAAATGACCTCAAAAGAATGTGATAGAAAACGGAAGCTTGGTCAACATCTCATTCGGGGCAACCTATGATAAAATGGAAGTTGACCATGAGCTGTCCCCAATAAACTTCCCCTTGTACGGTTTCATTGGTGATGACATCGTCCTAAGAGGGAAAAAATCATTCTAGCAATAGAGATGGGGACGACGCCATTAACTGCTCATCATTTTATGAAGTTTTTGATGGTGGAAAATCGTTCTGTCTACCATATAGTGCTTAAGAGGTTGACATTAAAGGAGCTATGGGTCGTCACATCCATTCACCACTTATATATAAAGTTCCCAACAGAAAACTATATCACTATGATCAGAGGTGATCAAAGAAGTGCAAACAAAGGCTACTCAAATGCTATAAGAAAAGTCGAACCAAGAGACATCAATGTAATCCTAATGAACATTGACATGGATGACCATGAACAAGGGCAAAACCTTGAACAAGGTGAGGACTTCGAAATGATAGACGCCTCTGAAGTAAAGCTACTTTGTAGGTACAATCAACCCCATAATAAGAAAAAACTGCTAAAGAAGCGGCTAACTTTGATGAACTGGATCCCCACATAATGATTGTGAACCTCATACAGCCTCGATTGAAAAATTGGAAAACTTCACGGTGGATTTTAGAGACCCATCCAAATCCTTGCAGGTAAAAAAAAAAACTACCAGTAAAAGCTAAGGAAAAACTGAAGTGTTTCTCGCATAACAACTTGGATATCTTTGCATAGAAATACGAGGACATGGTTGGCATCCATTCAAAGGTTAGTTGTCACCATTTAAAGATTGACCTTAAAGCGACTCCTCAACGGTAGAAAATGAGGGTAATCAGCACGGAGAGGTATGAAGCATTAAAGGATGAAGTTAAGAAGTTAATTGACAATTGCTTCAACCGAGAATCCATTTATCCGAAGTGGGTGTCAAACCCTATCCTTAAAAAAAACCTAATGAAAAGTAGAGGGTATGCATAGATTTTTCCAATCTTAATCAAGCTCGTCCCAAGAATAGTTTTCTGCTTCCACGAATAGATCAACCTGTTGATTCCATTGCTGGGCGTGAACTATTAAGTTTCGTGGATGCTTAGTCAGGCTATAATCAGATCCCAATGCATCTAACGGTTAAAGAGCATAAGTCATTTATAACATACAGATGTCTCTATTACTATAAGATGATGCCCTTTGAACTGATAAATGTTTGGGGAGAGATTGGTTAATAAAATGTTTATTAACCTGATAGGAAAGACAAATGGAGGTCTACGTGGATGATATGTTGGTGAAAAGTTTGAAAGTAGAGGATCATGTCAACACCTTGACGAAGCTTTTCAATTAATACAAAGGTTAGGATGAGACTTAATCCCTTTAAATGCACATTCAGAGTTGCTTCAAGGAAATTTTTAGGCTACAATGTCAATCAAAGAGGCATTGAGGCCAACCCTGAAAGATCAAAGCTCTGATTAGAATGAGGTTACCTTGCAGAGCCTTACTGGACGCATAGCAGCCTCGAGTTGTTTCGTCTCAAAGGTAAAAGATAAATGCCTTCTTTATTTAAGGTTCTAAATTGGGGAATGAATTTCAATGGAT